TTACCCATGGCAGGGCTGTGAACAGGGTGGGCAGTTTGCCAGTGGGGAAGGCTCCAGTGCCCTCCCTTGGTGTTTGAGGGATGGGGCACCGTGCCTGCCAACCAGACAGCCCTGCTCAATCCCCCCTGCATCTGCCAGGCTCCCACGAATGTCTGGAGCCAGCCCTGAGCCTGGGGCCTGTGTAACCCACACCCCTCAGGGCAGTGCTCCGTGTCCCTCGGACAGTGGCTGGGAGTCCAGCAATACCAGTTCGGTCCCAACAGCCCAGCCAGGGCCAGCATATCGTCCACCATTCCCGAGGACTGAGGGTGGGACTGCTGTTAAGATACTTTGTGGGGCAGGAGTTTTACCTCCTTAGAATTCGTTAATTACTGATTTCCCCAAATTCATTCTGTTGTCTGCCTCCCCTTTTCCCCTCCCCTAATAAAGTTCTCTTTGTTTTAACCCCTGGACTCGGTCCTGGTGCATGGGGAAGAATTGCCCACCAAAGGTGCTCAGGGACGGGTACATCATTTGCTTGGTTTCTGGTGAGGGGATCAAGTCGGTGTCAGCTAAGGAAGGAACCCCAAGAACGTTGAACCCAGCCCTTTTGCTGCCAACACTGCGGCCTAAGAGTTCCACTTAGACCTGCCCTACCAAGGGGAAGAACTTGGGTGTAATTCCCCAGGGCCAGGCACTCTGCTTTACCTACCAGAGGGAGATGTCCTAGCAGAACCTCTGCCATTTTTGGACACGTAGGGGTGGTGATAGAAGCTACTGTCCTAAATATGGGTCTGAAAATACATTGTCCCCTGACCGTGTCTGAAGAAACGAAGGCCCTGAGCGCTCTGTGACAATCAGAGGGTTTATTGCGCAAGGAAAGAAACGAGCAGAATATGACAAAGAGGGAGATAAGCGCAGGCGTTTCATCAGCAGAATCTCAGCTGCAAATACAGCAAGCCAGGATCACACCCTGGGCACGGCAGGGAGGCAGCGGTTCAGAGTGTGTGGGGGCTGAATGGAATGGTGGGATCTGTACAGAGTGACCCCATTCCAGGATCACTCAGAGATCAGGGACTGCCCCAGGCACAGTGGGGTTTGGATCACGGCAGGGAGACGGGCAGGACTCATTTCCGAGGGCAGGGGGAGCTCCGGGGGACCAGCCAGGCAGGGAGCTGGGCACGCTGCAGAGGAGGAAATCCCTGAGTGCCCTGCTGTCCTGGTTCCTGTCCCAGGCATGGCTCTGCCAACTAGTTGCCGGGGGAAGAACCTGGTATCGACCCTCTTACAGCCCGTCTGGAGCTGAGAGCTGTGGGTTGTGCTGTGTTTGCTCTGTCTCAGGTGTCTGCACTGAGCAGACACCAGGCTCAGGGTGTCACTGGGGCCCAGTGTACAGGGAAACATGGAGGGAGAATTGAGTGGGTCCCCTGGTTGGTATGCAAGGTGTCCCCTCTGCACTGTAGCCTCCCAAGCTGGCAAACTGCCTGCCCTGCACAGAGCGATGTCTGGGGAAGGGTGGGGGGGCCCTTAATATTCTCACGGGGCAGCGGCAACTCTGAAATGACAGTTGTGGGGGATATGGGCACCTTCAACTACGGAAAAGCAGCAAAGCACCAGTTTGGGTGCTGGACCTGGGACAGCAAGATGGGAGGAGGGCAGCCAGGCAAGGGGAGGGGCTAAGGGGAAGCAGGGCATGGCCAGGGGGAGTGGGGCAGGGCCAGAGGTTAGAGTTCATTTCCTAATTTAAATATCATTTGTAGCTAACAGGAGCGTGTGATTGAGGATGACACCAGGGGATGGTCTTGGGTCCTGCTGGATTTTACATGAGGCGAGGGGCGTGAGAGACTAACCCAGAGCCAGGGGTGGGGTGAAGGGAGCTCCTGCCAGCCCTGAACACCAGTCTCCCCTTAGGCATAATCGGAGAATTTGGGGAAGGGGTTGTGGATGTTGCAGAAGTCCCCATCTGTGCAGCACTGGGTGGTGTCCTTGTAGTAGTCTTCAGGGATCTCTGTATCCTCGCAGATGGATGTGCAGCCCCGCTCCACACGATTGATAAAGCCCGCTGCAGAGGGAAAGAGAGACAAGAGCCAGGTGCCAGAGACAGGCCCCTCCTCCCAGCTGAGCTGCCCTCCCCTCTGTCCAGGACTCCTCTGTCTCCCCTGCCACTCTCTTCCCACTGCTCCAGGGGAAGAAACCTGCTGGTCCCTCTCTCTGTCCTCAGAGGACACCCACCTCTGCCTGTCCCGGTGTCACAGGGTCTGTCTACACTGCAGTCAGAGCCGTGACTGAAGCGCTGTAGACTGGCCGGAGCTAGCGGTGATCTAGCGAGCTCCAGTAACAACAGCAGGGCAGCTACGTCAGCACAGGTCGTACGAGCCCCCCCGGGACTCCGGGTGCATACGCCCGTGGCTAGCTGCGCTGTCACCCCTGATGCCACAGCTTCCCTGCTAGTGTTAGTCAAGCTAGCTAGATGACCGCTAGCTCTGGCCTGTCTACAGTGCTTCAGTCACGCCTCGGATTGCTCTGTCGCCATCCCCGTAGTCCCCGTCCTTGATTAAGGGACGAATGTGGCACCCACCTAGCGCGCAGCAGCAAATCTCAGAGCCAGGTCGACAGACTATGGCACTAAAAATAGCTGTGTAGATGCTCCAGCTGAGGGTTGGGCTGTGAGGCCCTCCCCAGCACCGCTGCTAGCTTGGCCACAAGGGGTCATGCTAGAGTAAGGTGTTCTTCCCTCACATCCTGGCAGCTCCTAAATTGCATTCTGAGGGGCCCTTGGCCTCCCAGACTCACCGATAGTGATTTTACGGGTAAAGCAGGATTCTCCCCGCGCGGCTGTGCAGGTGTGTTTGCCTAGCATACAGCTGCCATCCTGTAGCATCATGAAACAGCCGTTGCACTGGAGAGCTGCAGCTGTGGGAGAGGAGAGAGAAGAGAGAGTAGGAAACAAGCAGCCGGGCCCAGACTGGTGACCGGACAAAGACACCAAAACAGCTTCCCGGCCGCGTGGAACCAGCCATGCCCCTCCCCCACATTGGTGGATGGCTTTCCAGGGGCAGCTCTGTCCCTCCGCCAGAGCACAGGCTGCCCTTGAGCTAGAATACTTGGTTGTAATTGAATTGCCCTCGGTAAAGACCTCAGCTGACTGGTCTGGCACCAGCTGAGGCTCTGACCCATCAGGTGGAAATCTCCCCTCGTTGGGTTTTGTTTCGGGACTTACCCGTTGCTAAGCAGAGCAGGGCTGGCAAACCCAGAGCCAGCATCTTGTTCATCTTTGGCTTTCTCTCTGCCGAGCCGAGGGGGGAGCAGTGCGGTCGTGTCAGGCCAGTGAGGAGCGGAACAGGGCCTGCAAACCTGGTGCACTGGCTCCCAGGGGGAGGACAGAGAGGGATTTATACCCCCGGGGACTGGGGTAATTACTAATTACAATCTAATGGTCACGGTGCAGCCCAGAGCAGAACGTTCCCTGCCCAGGTGAGCGGCTCTGGCAGGCGACTCCCCAGCCCTGCCTCCCCCACAGGGGCATTTTGCCAAAGGCACAAGCGGGAGGGAAGTGGCAAAGTGCCACGGCTGCTGGGAATGAGGGGTGAGACCTGTTCCTGAGCCACTGTGGAGCTCTCGATTGGCCTGTTGGGTTCTATTTTATTAAGAAAAAAATCAGATCAGTTATTACAATGGTAAAAGAATGTCCTGGGGTGAAGCATGCACTTGTCACAAATAACCAGTTCTTTTTCAGGGAGCTGGTTACAGTTAAGTGAGAAGGTGCAATTGGTGGAGGACACAGAGACTTTATGAGCTTGAGTTGGTGCAGACAAATATATCTGAAGTAATAGAAACATCAATGTACATAATTATAAGTAAGGTGGTTCCTGCTTTGTTCATACTTACAAGTATTTCATTGTGGGGACTTACAACCTCCTGGACCATTAGAAACAAAGATGGAAGAGAGTGTAAGTGGAGCCCACCGCAGGAGGAGAGTACAGGGCCAAGCTTTCTATCCATTGTATGGAGCCCCCATAGGGTCTAGAACCCAGGTCTGTA